TTAGGGTTAGGGTTAGAAAAAGGAGGTGTCCTGGAGCGATTCTGATGCTTGGAATGTGTTTAGAGTCAGCAGAAAGGATGAGCTGTGCGGAAAAGCGACTCCACTGCGCAGGCACTTTCCTCCGTGGCACCGGATGATGGGATCGGTCCGCTCAGTCGCCAGGTGACTCACTTGCCTCTTCCGCTGGGGGGGACCCCACTGGTCCCCCACTGACACGGTGAGCCCCCAGCCGCCTCCCAGTCCAGCTGACAATTCCCTCTTAAAGGAAGAGCAGTGGGAAGCCCTAACCTCGCTCAGGATTCGGCTTCCTTGTGAGCAAGCGGAGCAAGGTTGGTTTTGTAGCCGCAAGGCAGCTGTAAGCAGGCTTTTTCTTCCAGGATTATCTGGATTTCCGGAGAAGGAGCAGGTGGCACCTGGAGGCTTTGAGGACCGGGCATCTCCAGGGATGGCGTTGCCACGGGGACGGCCTTGGATGCGGCCGGCAGAGGCGGCTGCTGCAGGAGCCAGGACTGGGAGACTCGTCAGCCTGCAGTCCTGGGTGCATTATGGGGGAGAGCGAGACCCTCCACCCACCCATGCAGCACCAGGCCGCTCTTCCAGACTGATGGGTCCTGGAGTTGCCTCCTTGGAAAGTTCTTTCTGGCCCTCTTCCCTGTGCAGTGAGTTCGAGTCCCCGCCAGCCACGGAGCCGGGCGGGTGACTGGGGCTATTCACAGACTCTCAGCCCAGCCTACCTCACAGGGTCGTTGTGCGGATAAAAATGGGAGGGGGCGAGACGCGAAAGGAAGGGTGTTTCCTGAGCAGGTGATGAACGCGCCTTCCCGTCTCATGGCCGCCGATTGCAGCCGCCGGGGGTCTTCACGGGCTCTTCCGCAGCCTGGGTCGGAGCGGCGCACACGTGTCTGCGCAGGGCGCGCCCGGCCGCCCGCCCGCCCCTCGTCGGGCGCCGGCGCTGCGGGCGTGACGGGCGACAGACGCGTGTCTGCGTCAAGCCAGCCCGGCCTGCAGTACCTTCCTGTGGCCACAGGGTGGCAGCACCGGTCCGCCGCCGCCGGTGCCCGGGAGGCCACTGCTGACGCCGCCCCGTGACGGAGGCAGCGCCGGGCGGGGGGGGGGCCGAGCCCCCGGCCCGTTCCCTCCGGGGGGTGCGAGCCCGGCAAGCCCCCCGCATCCCGGAGCGCTGCCGGGGCCGCGGGCTGCCTGCGTCTCTGGGTCGTGTGTGGCAAGGCAAGGCCTCTCCTGAGCATGTGCGGAGTTTTATTTGCTCTCCGGAGCCTGGGCTTCCCAGGCGTCCCAAGCGGGGCAGGGACCAGGCAGGCCTGAGCCCCCGTACCTGTCTGCTCGGAAGGAGTCGCTCCTCTTCCGCAGTCAGACGGACTCGGGCGCCGCATGGCGAAGGCTCCCGTCCAGGGGACGGGCTGTAACGCGGCCTCCTCCTGGCTGCTCAAGGGTTTGGGGCAGCCTTCGCCCACCTGGCGCCTTCCTGACGGGTTGGACTACAACTCCCAGCGCCCAGCCCATCCGAAGGGCATCAGGTGGGCCAAGGCTACCTCCGTGGGAGGCCGAGTGTGTGTCCAGACAGGCCGCGTTCCTGGGCGCGCCTCTCTTGTCACCCCAGGTTTTGAAACAGCAAGCTGCTAGTCCTCAAGGCTCTGCGGAGAAAATGGGAGGAGTGCCAGGATCCAGACAGGGCGGGGCTTGCTGTCTGCAGTTCGTGGGAGCCTGCAAGACCCCCCCCCCCAGAAGACGGCGGGCGCGAGAGAGAAGAGCTGCTCCCGGGCAGCAAGAATGCATCTATTGTCCTATATTCGGTTATTTTCAGCATTGTATTGAATCCCATCTTTTGCGGCATTTCGGTTTTGTAACAGCTTATAATGTGCGCGGGAATTGCACCCCCAGTGCAAGAGAAGACCCCGGGCGGGGCTCCTCATGCGGTTTGCCCCCCCCCCCGCCCCTTGCAGGGGCAAGAACTCCGAGCCTTTCGCGCGCCCCCTCCCCGCGCCCCGGAGCCTGGGGCTGGCACCGCAGCGGGCCTGGTGCAGCAGGGGCTGGCGCTGCGTCCCGCCAGTGAGTCCCGGTCACCGTGAGGACTAGCGGCTTGCGGACGGGCGAGTCGCAGGGGCGCTCGGCTGCGGTGTGGAAAGGGCAGGTGCGCCGCGGGAGGTCGGGCCGCCCCGGGGCCCTCGCCAGCAGGCTGGCATCGTGCCCCTGGGACGCGCGGGCCGGTCTGGGGCCAGCTTGGCGCCCCAGATGCGCTGGGGGGGGGGGGCGCCAAGTCTGGCGGGCGCGGGCTGGCTGAAGGCTGGACTGGCCCTTTTTGCTGCATTTCCGCCTCCCCAGGAAGGCCCGGGAGCGCGCCTCTGCCCGGACTTGTGCTGGAGGGGGGTAAGGCAAGGAAACGAAGCCGGGGTGCCAGTGGGGAGCCGTCAGGGGGCAGCTCTGGGGCTGGCCTGCGCTTGGGGGGGGGGCGCCTGGGAACCGCATGCAGCCCCTTGAGCCCCGCAGTGCGGGAACGGGGTGCTTATGATCAATAAACCAAGGAGGAAGCCGCCCGCCCCGCTCCCCTTCCTGCGGCGAGGAACGGCTCTCTGTCCATGCCCAGGCACCGCCTGCCGCCTCAGACCCCCCCCCCCCCGCTGCTCGGGGCTCGACCTGGTCTGGGCGTTCACACGCACCCACCGCGGGAGGGAAGCGCGTTGCGGGGCAGCGAGAGGGGCAGCGCGGGGGCTGGAGAGGAGCCCGGAGCCTCGCTCGGCGGGGGCGGCTTCCTGGGGGGGGGGGGCAGCCGCGGGCGAGGGGCGCGTGAAGAGCCGGAGCCGCGTCCCCTCCCCCGCTCGCTCCCCCACCCCATTCATCCCCTCATTCCTCCATTCAAGTGTTTTTCTCCTGCGCTGCAGCAGTTCCGGTGCGTGGAGGGGGCCGCCTCGACCTCCGCGGTTCCGGGGACGCGGAGGGGGGGGCGCTTGCAGCAGGAATTCGGACCGAGAGACCAGCGCTGCGAGCCCCCCCGCCCGCGCCTCCCAGCCATAGGTTGCCAGCACCCAAGCAAGACGGACATCCCCCCCATGCCAGCCCCGCCAGGCCCGCCAGCCTCGGAGGAGCGACAGCACCCTGCATCCCGCGTTGCCATGGCGACCACTATGATGCCTTTCTGGCCCACGAGGGGGGGGGGCGTCCAAGGCAAACAGGACGGGGCGGGGGAGGGAAACGTCGGGAAGCGGCTCCGGCGTCAACAAGCGTGCCGCAGCATCCCTGCTCCACCGTGGCGCCGGCCCCATGAGTCGGGGAAGAGTGCCCATCATCCCCGGTCAGAGGAGGCGAAGGCTGCTCTGTGGAAGGCTGAGCAGGGTGGGACCGGCGTGGAGAGAGGCCAGAGTCCGGCCTCTGCAAGGCACCGTCTGGAACTGATTTCAGCGCCTAAAGCCATTCCCCCCCCCCCGGGCCCCCTTCCCGTGCGGTGTGGGGGGCGCAGGCGAGGCACGGAGATGACCCTTAAAGGGACGGGGCAAGTCGAGGGCCAGGAAGCTGCCCATGGCTCCTGGTCCCGACAGCCCTCCAGGATCCATGCCCGGGCGCCCATGTGCACCGGCTGCTGGGGAGCATGGGTACAGAGTGCTGCGGTGTTTGTGCCTGGCCGCTTCCAGGCAGCTGCTTCCTGCGGAGGGGCATGGGGACCCTCGGCCCCGAACACGGCTCTTCTGGCGCTTGAGCTGGGGAAGGCCGGGCCGGGCCGGGCCTGGCCGCCTGTTCACCCCAGCAGCGGCTTGCTGGGCCACGGTGCTGCAGCCCTTTGCGGGGGCCACCAGGCAGGGCCAAAAGTGGAATATTTCTCCCAGCAGGAGCGGCGGAGGAACACGAGGAAGAGAGAAAAGCGAAGCTCCCCACTTCCTGCCTCCCCATCTCTCCTCTACCCCACACACAGCTGAGGAACCGGCCCGGAAGGGCAGAAAACCCAGGCTGCGTCAGCGCCTTCCTGCCTCCACCCAAGCTGGCCAAAGGGCCCAGTCCCTTCGACAGCACAGGTGCTGGCTTGACTGGGCTGCACTGGTCAGACTGGTGGGAACGCTGCGAGACGATCCCCGGCTGTGCTTCTGGATGCTGAAGCGGGAGGACAAGAGCCAGGCCTGCGAACACGCCAGCCCCGGAAAGGCCCTGGGCTGGGGGGGGGGGGCTGGGGGGCACTTGCCCCCAGGAAGAGGGAGCACGGCTCTGGCCCAGAAGGGCTGCTTTGCCCCTGTAAGGGCCCCGTTCTGAGTCCCCAGAGTCACACCTCCCCAGTTGCAAAGGAAGAGAAAGAGCCGGAATGCCGCAATGGGCGGGGGCGAGGGGAGAGTCTGTCCCCCCCCACAGCACGGGGGGCGGGGGTTCAGCTCCCTCGGCTTGGAGGGCTGGACTACCGCTTCCATTGCTCCCAGCCTTGGTGGCCTTGCCTGGGCTGAGCTCCCTCATACTGTTTACACACCGACCACAGCAACAACCCCACACAAGTACACAAGGGCAGGGGGCTTTGTCTGGCTGTTCCACTTCTCTTACGTAAGTGTTCTTTACCCTGAAACTTAATAAAGTTTTACCTTTGATTTGCTATAATTAGACACGCCAAGTGTTGTGTGTGCGGCTGTTGAGTTGGGGCCCACGGCTCGCGCGAGGGAAGGGGGGGCTTCCCTGCCTCTTTCTCCCCGACACACATTCTCCTCTGGCTGATTTCTCTTCCATCTCTCAACAGCTCACAGGTCTGTGACCGGCCGTTTTGCAGGCCCCTTGCTCCAACACGGCAGGAAAAATAAATTTTTATTCAGTTGAATTGTTTATTCAACTTTTCAGGCAAAAATGATCCCAGAACAGCTTAGGAACAATTAAGTTCTTTCCCAGAGCTCTTCAGGCTGAAAAGGTCTTGACAGACAAGGAAAAGGCACGGGGAGGGAAGAGGAAAGAGAAGCCATTTTCAGAAGTCTCAATTCCCTTCTCATGCCGCACCGGGCATCCAGCTGGAAGGGCTGCTGCCGGGGACAGCTGGGGAAGGGGACTTCATGGGAGGAGTCTTCAGCAGGGCTGGTGAAATCCTCCCCCCCCCCCCCTTCCAGAGGTAGTAGGCAAGATGCTTGTGCCTTAAGGGACCCTGTGAACAGACAGCACTCGGCCAGGTGCCGGCACACGCGGCTGATGAGGCGTGCACCATGGGAAGCCCGGCGGAGGGGCTCCAGGGCAGCCGTCTTCCGCGAGAGCACCCGGCAAGCGACCGGCACGCTGCTTCCGCTCCTCCCGGCAGCAGGAAAAGGCGGCCATGGGGGGCCACAGGTTGTCCCTGCGTAGGAGGAGCAGAGAGGAATCGGGGGTGCAGGGCCCGGAGGGAGCAGCCTTTCCTCGTCTGCCGCATCAGCCCCAGGGCAGGGGGTGTGGCGGGGGTGAATCGACGGGTCAGTCTGGGTGCCCTCGGTTGGAAGTGTCCCGGCCCAGCTCCAGCTCGGGGTCCTTAAAGGGGAGCAAGTCCCTTCCCCGAAGGGCCGCTGGGTATGACAAAGGCAGCCGGGCTTCCTGTCAGCGCCTTCTCCCCCTGCCTCTGAATTTCCATTTCTCTGGGAGATAATGGGAATCGCCACCCACATAATGCAGCTAGCAAAGCACTTCAGAACCTAACAGGAACAGAGAAAGTTTGGAGAGGCGCTCAGCAGAGAGAGGAAGGCGGGAGCCGAGCGGTGGGGGGTGCAGAGGAGCGGCAGGGCCCTGTGAAGCACGAAGGGGCGTCGCCACGCCAATCACAGCAGCCCCCCCTCACGCTCGAGGACCCCACCAGGAGGACTCCACCGAAGAGGATGCCCATCCCACCCTAAGCGAAGACTGGCCACCTTGCCTTCCTGGCCCTGAAAACGCACTTAGTGCGTCCCCAGAGATGGTGTCACCATTCAGGGTCACGTTTGTCATTCTCTCTTGTCACACAGTGGAACAAGCCAGAAGACGGGCCACGAATGAGTCGTGGCCCGGCCGGTGATGTGTCACGCCATGGCTGTGTCGTGGGAACCAGCACGGCTCCTTAGCCAGGAATAACAGACAGGTCACCACCCAACACAGGTTCTTCGTGGGCCGCACATGGTTAAAAAGCCATGGTTTGTTAGGGTGGCTGCATCCACACAACCCACAGCCCAGGGGCAGCTGACAATCAACCCACACCCCCAACCCGTCATGCCGTGGGAACCCAGCAACAGGCTGAGACCTGCCATTCCAGGTTGAGTCCCACGGTTCAAGGGAACGAGGTGTTCCCTTCTGGGGTTTGGGGGAAAGAGAACCGAAGTTGCACAATCACAACTTGGGTGGGGAGGGGGCATTTTGTCCCCTCTCTCCCCACAGCACAGCTGCAGATCACCCAGAGAAAGGCACGGGCTGCGCTTGGAGCACAGAGGACCGCAAGCACCCTCGGGAAGGGCTCAGCACCAGCGTGGGGAGCCACCGTTTGATGTGACGCTTGATACGTATATTTGTGAAGAGGCCTTCAGATAGGCAATTCCTGCTGGTTCGCAATAAAATCCCAACAAAAAGTCTGTTGATGTGGTGCGGGCAGGGGGGGCACTTTTAAACTGCCTCGGATGTTTCAAGAGAAAGCGGGATATATTTTTTTTAGACGAGCGGCTGAACAAATGAACGCAGCACCGCTGGCATCACCAGCAGAAGAGACCAACTCTTAACGCACCACACACGCAACTGACCTCGGTTTGATTGCGGGGTTTTAAGAAGCCTGGGAGAACAGAGGAAAGGCCTCGGGGGCCGAGTATGGGACACAGCCGGGGCTGGGCCAGGCCGCTCGGGTGGGAGCCACTGCGTCCCCCGCGCAGGCCTGGAATCGAGCTCGGCAAGGAGGGAGAACCGGGTGGCTCACCGGCGGGTGAGGCCCACGCCTGCCCTTGGCTCTAGGCCTGGCGGCGGCATTTTGACGCACCTGCAGCAGCTGGGCAGCCTGCGAGGGAAGGTCCTTGCCCCACTCGCTGCAGCAGGGGGTCCGGGGGGCTGCCGGGGGAGCCCTGATGTCCGGGTCCAGAGGAGGGTCTCCAAGGGACAGGGGCTGCTGGGACTCGCCAAGGGCCGGCTGGATGCGGGAGCATCACCAGACAGCGGTCCTGCCCCCCGGAGGGGGAGCTTGGCCCCATCCGGAGCAGACGGAGCGCCAACTCCTGAGCAGACGGGCCTCCCACCACCGCCCCGCTGGCGCTTCCGCAGCCTCACCTGTCTCCACCGCAGGTGGGAAGCAGTTTGGCCTCATCCAAATGTCAACGATGCGTCACCTGGATGGGGGAGCCAGCTGCTCCATGGCACCCGGGGGCCGCTGCCCCTCCTGTGGGCTCCCCTGGCCAGGCTGAGCTTCAGGGCCATCCCCTGCACCCAGCCCGTCTCCCCCAGCGAGAAGCAGAGCCATGGAGGCAACCGGATTCCAGCCTGGAGAACCGCTCCAGAAGGAGGCCACAGTCCCTGGGATGGAAAGCCGGGCAGCAGTCCTGGGGGGGGGGGTCCACAGAGCGGGACTGCCCACCTGTGTCCTGGCCTCGGGCCACTGGCTGACCTCACCCCAAGAGGGGGCCAAGGCCACAGATGCCCCTCTGGGCTCCTGCGGGAGGGAAAAACTTGGGCCGTGACCTTGGTGGCGAGCGACGACTTGGAAATTGGCACTTTCTGCATGACAACGAGTTGCCCAGCCTGTCCAGCGCTGCCCTCCTGCCAGGACATGGGGGTGACCTGCCCAGCGATACCGCCCTGCCCCTGCGTGAAACCTGGGGCACGGCAGGTACCACCAAGTAGCAAAAGCTGGATAAAAGAAGAGGGCAAGGAAGGCCGTCAGCTCCGTGCGGTTCTCCTGAAGCTCTCTGGGGCAATGGGCTTCTGCCCACTGCCGGAGGCAGCGCGCCAGGGCAGGGGAAGCTGTCCAGCACGGCTCTCTGCGTCCTTCCCACAGTTCCTCGCACCCAGCAGATTCGAGTGGGTACGCGCACCCAGGCAGCGAAAGCCAGGTCCTTTGCCTTCCCCCATGGCCAGCTGAAACGGACCGGGCAGGAGCAGCGCTCCTCAGGGCAGCCTTCTGGGCATGCCCAGAGGCTCAGGCCCAGAATCCCTGGCCACGGCCCGTAGTCCCCCCCCCCTCCCGCATGGCACATGGGAAGCCGGGGCCTTAAGTGCCAGCATGACAGGGCGCATCGCCTGCAGAAGTTTCCCTTGCAGCCGAGTGGGAGCGCAAGCGCTGCCATGTGGGTCCCGAAAGGGGCAGGCGGCACTCTGCGCGCCCCCAGACCGCGACTTGCCCGGCTGCCCCTGCCCGCAGAGCCGCAGGTGGGGCAGTGGGGCCGGGACAGCCTCCCTTGCACTGGCTCGCCAGAGGGAAGGGGCGCGAAGACCCCGCGGGTGCGCCGGCCGGCCGCGGGCCCGCTCCCCCTCCCCCGTGTCGCTCCTGCTCTGCCCCCCCCCCCCTTACGCGGCGATATAAATAGCAGCTTCTGCCCGTTCCTAAATTTCTCGCTGACGTCACGCCCACGTCATTGTGTAGGTTGATGCTTTTTCTATGAATGAGCCGCGAGATCCCCCGTTACTACGAGCCGGCCTCTATAAAAGCCCGACGGCGGCGGCCGAGCCCACACCGCAGCGCGCCGGCGGAGGCGCCTCGTGGCGGGCGCAGGGGCTGCGCTCGGTTCCGCTCGGCTCGGCGGCGGCGGCGGCGGGCGCGGGACGCGGCCGGCGGGACGCGCCGTCGGAGGCAGGTAAG